TTAACTCCTTATACCTATTAATTTACCATAATTCTCTCATTCGTATACAATTTGATGTAGCCTTACAGAAAACTATGAAACTTTTGAAAAGAAATGTCATCATAGGAATTTAAAGAGCAATATGCACTAACTGTTTCTGTGAAACTGTAAATCTGAATTTGCTGCTGAACTTGCATGTATAAACTAATTCTCTCTGGTTTAGGTCCTGTACGCATTGAAAAAATTGTCCACTTGGCACTGAAAATGCTTTGAAGCATTCAGGCAAGGACACCTAAAAGAAAGACTCATGTTCTATCAAGATTTTTGTTTGAAATTGTAATGCAAGAAACGATGTGGCAATTTTTCTTTGAAAAGGACTGTATTGCTCCTCCTGCCTCCCCAGGACTTTCCCCTAAAAACTGTATTGTATTCACTATGTATGTATTTCCAAAAAATTATAAGACTTGTACTGCTTTCTGTCAGGGTGTATGCACAATGGATGGGCATTTTATGCATGTGGCTCATGGAAAAAAATTGTTCTAATACAGGTGGTTTTGTCTAACCAACACTGGTTTCCCATTGCTATTTTAATAGCAAAAATATCCCTTAGCCTTGGAAGTGGAACTTAAAACTGCAAGAATGGCATCAAGGAACATTTTTATTTTTATTAAAGACTGCATTCTCCTAACAGACAGAGAACTTGGGGTTAGATCTGAGTTCAAGCAGCCTCTAAACCTGGCTCAGACTTCTAAAATTATTTTAAACAAATAACTTAACACACTGGCACCTCATTTCTACTGCTTTACAATGGAAATGATTTTTCCATGCATATTCCGGACTGTTTCCTTTGGCCTATAAGTTCTGAGATGAAAATTAATCTGACTGTGTACATGTAGTAAATCAAGCATTAATTTCAAATAGAATTCAAAATGATACTTGATAATAGTTGCAATATACTTAGTATAAGGAAAATACTACAGGGAGGGATATATTCTAGTACAGTGATGACCTTACATGGGTGGTGTGTGCGTTAAATCATTTTAAAGACATTCAGAAATGAGAAAAAAATACTTAGTTAGGTGGTGACTCAAAGAAGTACAATGAATTATATCCATAAAAAGGCAGCATTTTAAGAAAATACTTTAAGGGAGGAACCCCCACCTTCTCATGAGCGTAAGACAAAAATTAATTTTTGGGCTATTTGAAATGTTTTGCTGTCCAACACAGAAGATGTTCCAGGATTCTTCAATTGACCTTCAAGGTTCAGATAGAATTCATTTGTTCTCTATGCACAGGAGCATTGGGAATATGAGTCTTTTTTCTCAGGTATTTTTCAAACATTTCCAATGAACTGAAAATAAGAAAAACCCTGTTCCCATTTTTCTTGAAGATTCAGCCAAAGGCAGACTGCTGTCATTACTGATCCTGAGCCGCCACCTGGTGGCATTTGGGAAAAATAAATTCAAATTTCACTCGTCCATGGGGCCAAGGCGGGGGCACCATCCTCCCGGAGGGCTGCAGGGTCGGACCCCTCCCTCTCCCATCCCGACAGCTGGGCAGAAGCAGAGGCAGAGATTCTGGGATTTGCCCAAGCCCTGCCGGCTGACTCTGGGATGATGTATTCACCCCCAGAGTGTCTCTCCAAGGCAATGCATGTAAAGGCAAAGCCTTGCTGGGTCTCACTGGTGGATTTGCAATCCAATTTAGAGTTTTTTATAGGTATGTTCTCAAAAAGTGAGAATACACAGCTCTCAACAAGTCAACATTGCCATCTTCACAGCACAGGCATCAATTTGGAGAGAGCCCGTGATCCTCACTGCTCACCTGGGAGACTGAGGCTTAGGAAAATGAAGCACCCTGCCTATGGTCACACAGAAGGACACCAGCTAAATGGATTAAATTGATTAAATTGAATAATGGAATCATTTGGGTTGGAAGGGACCTTTAAAGGTCAGTGAGTCCAACTCCCTTGCAATGCGTAGAGACAATAATGAAAGAAGTAGCATTCTCAAAGATAATAAATATTAGAGGGATTGGCCAAAAAGCAGGTCACATCCTGTTGTAAAGGCAATAAAATATCACTTTAGAAAAACTCTTGTGGTTTCATTGTAATTCTGCAATACCAATCTTAGAAAAAGTTAAATTCAGATCTCTAAATCACTTAATATGCATCCTGTCTGTAAGAAATTTAACCAAGCTTCATCTGAGTAGAAATTGTAGCTTTGAAGATACTATTTGTTCTTGCTAATAAAATCTGTCATGTTTTGAGAAACAAATGGGAAGAGTATTACTGTAGGGAAATAAGTGTTTTTAAGGGATGAGACAAGAAAGAACAAACATAGAGAAACAGAATTTTTTTCTGCAGTCCTTATAAAACTAAGGTGTCTGGGACCCTTCACTGGACAATGGTACAAGATTAATTAACTCTGTGCATGAAACACTTTTTTTCTGAATATGGCAAAATGGATCCATAATAGTTATTTGTGGCTAAATAAATAACAAGGGCCTGACTGAGTGATTGCCTGGGGATATGTACACAGTCTAATTTAGTAATAATTTCCATCCCTCTCTGCTCAATGAACAAATAAACAACTCTTGCATGACAAGTAAATGCTTACGCAACACTAGTAACATTAATTAGAACTTATGGAAAATGTCACTACAAACCAGAAAAATTAGAGTTAAAAATTTTACCGTGGCTGTAGCATACAGCTGTAAACATATACTGCTAAAAATAAAAGAAAATAGACTTTTAAATTTGTATTTAAACTTCTCGATTTTGAATACAATGTATTGTGAAAGGCTTTGATCTCATTAGTCTCTGTCAGTCAGCCCTATTTTGCTCCATCTAACCAAGGAAAAAGAAATTGTGTAATTGTCCTGAAGAAACTTCTGTTTCTATTCTTTGCGTTTCTTGTCTCTGCTCTTCTTGACACAGGCCTTTGACTTCCTTATCTCTTCATAAGGATAACTTTATAAGAATCTATTTGGATTTTCTTGCAATTCCCTAGAAACTTTCTACTTGGACAGTTCTTTATGGCACTGTTAGGAGGAAAGGGTTAAAAGCAAAAGAGTGCAGAGAAGGATTCGAGATTCCAAGAGATCTCAAAGGTGGGAATGCTGAGGCCTGGAGAATATCATTGTGGAAATACACCCCTAAGATTATGCCCACTGCTGTCTATCTTTCTGTTTTGAGGAGTTTCTGTTTAGACATCCAAGTCTAAGGGACTTGGAGGCACTCTCAGGGACATTCCTGCGTTGGGAGAGAAATCAGAGCTTATGAAAAGCACAGAGATCACAGTGTGGTGGTAAGCTCCGTGTGTGTGGGCCCTCAATAAGAGGGTGCAAAGAACAGCCTTGGCACCCCTCAGGATGGACTGAGCCTGATGGTTCCTGAGCTCCCACTCCTGTGTCTCTGCCCAGGTGTTGATTTGGGATCCTCTGGTTAGCGAAGTAATTAAATCCATTTACTCTTTGCATTTCAGATGTGGTCTTGTGGTTGTTCTGCCTGCCTGCCTGTGTGGACTCCTGACAGGACATTTACCTTTAAACACCCTTTACTTGCTCTTTCTCATATTTTCTTACAGCACTTTTAAGGAACAGGTATGATAAAATACATTGTTGTGATCCTCACAATGTCAGGTTGCTGCCTCCCTTTGGTGATAACTTAACCAGATTTTTTATATATCACAAAACACCTCCACTCACCTCTTTACAATGTTTTACAAACCTTTGACAGGTGTAAGATAAATTCACTTTTCATAGAATAGGCCAAGACAATCCTTAGCAATGTAGGAAAACTATAACCAGCTTTCTTATAAATTTGAATATTGACCAGGAAAGTGTTGCATAACCACATTACAAACCACCCAGGCTGAAGCTATCTTCCACCCTCAGCTCTAACTAAATTACAGCCAGGGATGCAGGATTCACAGGGATAGAAGGCACAACATTGGGAAGCAGTGTGATATTGCAGCTTAGTGCATCCATCATTTATCTGGGATAAATAACTCTTGTGTTTCAGCTCTTAGCCCTAAGGCTATTGTTGTGCTTCACATGGAACAGTCAGTTACATCTGCATCAATTTGGGATAGTTTTTTTTTTTTTTTTTTTTTTTTTTTTTTTTTTTTTTTTTTTTTTTTTTTTTTTTTTTTTTTTTTTTTTTTTTTTTTTNTTTTTTTTTTTTTTTTTTTTTTTTTTTTTTTTTTTTTTTTTTTTTTTTTTTTTTTTTTTTTTTTTTTTTTTTTTTTTTTTTTTTTTTTTTGTAAGGAATGTGAATAATGTCAATGGATATTTAATTACATTTCCAAGGCTTTCATTGTTATTCAAATTTCTTTACATTCAGATTATTTCAGTCAGATGCTCGATTACTTGTCAGATGATCTGGTTTTAAAATGTGTGATATCATTATATACATTAATGAAAAATTAAAAACATGTTTTTGAGTCTAAGTATGCAAAATATAACCTCAGGTTAAAAGAATTTCATCCAATAAAATATGAATAGACTTTCAGAGGGATCATCAAATTCATCAGAGGCAGAGAGATAATGAACATAACCTAATTAATCTCCTTGTTGTAGCTATTTGCTGAGCAGTTGAGTGCACACTAGATGGCAGCCTAAGTATAGATGATTTCATCCTATTGCTTGTTCTCCAAGAAAAGGTGAAATTGAGAAATATCCTCGGACTCGCTAGTGTGTTTTGGGAAAAATGGAATTGGATGATGGACCAAAATATGGGATGCTTAAGTCTGCAATGTTCTTAGGTCCCCCCTGAAGTGTCACCATAGTGTAGATAGCATCAAGTAGAGAAAAGTCTCTTTCTCAGCTAAATGCAAGCAACACCAGTAACAAATGCTCTAAAACCCAAGGGCAAAATAACCAAAATATTCAGGAATAAACTGTTTGCAGCTCAGATTTCACAACATGGAAACGAGAAAGACTTCTTTGTGTGCCCCTTGCAGTATAGACAAAGAACATGATGAGGAAGCTGCTCAGGACAGCCCAACAGAAACACTCACAGATAAGATTTGATCTCCTCGCTGCAGTTCTCCGCTGAGATCCGCTGGCCCACCTGCGAGGATGAAAGACACGAAAATGCCTTCCCCGTCTTCACCTCCCACAATGTTGAAACCAAGTCCTGTGGAGCCCTTGTGCAGGATGATTTTTCGAGGCTCTCTGTATAGAAACAAAATGATAATGTTTAGGCACTCACACATCTTAGTGCGTATTCATTTTTCACAGCACCTTAAGCATGCTATATTTTGCTTAAGACACCATGGCCTGCTATTGTCTAGATGACAAAGCTGTTAACTGGTGAACAGATAAGGTAGGAATCAACCAGCATTATTTTCTTCCCTCATGGTTGAATTCAAACATCTTTGTTAATTTCACCCCATTGGAGTCATCTTCACTATGTTAAGTGACAAATTTTTTAAAAGGAAAAGCAAAACTGAATATATTTAATAATCTAATTTATAGCAGTGCTATATATCCAGGTATCCAATCTTTATATAGTACCTTTTTCTTTTAAGTTCTAGTCTTGCTTTTGCAACAAATGAACAAAGAAAACACTTATAACTCCAAGCAAAACAATTGCATTTGTGATCCTGACAGATTTGGAGCAAGTAACATTTATATGATCAAGCTAATCCAGCAGAATCTCATTAAAAACTTTGGTTTGACACTATCAGGATCATGCATTTGTTAAGTCACATTGCATTTATCACTGAACCAGCCCAAGGGGTACCTGCTTTTGCCACACTCATTAAAAACTATTAATTATGATAGAAAGCAATAAACAATAACAGGTATATCTCACACAGCTCTTTTCATCTGTAAATTGAAAATATGACCCAGAGGATGTAATCATAACATAAGATTTACTGATGGGAATAGTTATTTCCAGAAATAGGTAACTTTCCTAAGCAAGCAAGGTAGCATCCTTGAGAAAGGATCCCAAATATTCTTGTTCCCAGTCTCTACATACAAAGCCTCAGAGTTAGCTCTCCCTTGGATACACAAGCACACACAACCACTTATACATACATACACTCCATGATTATTGGGACTTACCCCATTTAAAATTCCTCTAACAATTTAATTTTCAAAAAAAGTGTAAATGCTGTCCAATTATGATGTATAAATTTTAAGCCCAGCCCTGCAAGTCTCTTAAACACATACATGTGGGTGTCTGTGACTCCTCCCAGAGAAACAGGACACTCAACTCATTAAGTTTACAAAAAAAAGTTGCCAGCAACAAAAACACACATTCCACAGAATGCTTCTTGTATAAAACATTCAATCTTTCCTCTATATTATACCATAGTTCTGTATCACACAAATGGATTTTTCATTTCCCTTTTGTTTTTAAAGAACAGAAAAAATAGAAGAGAAGTGATTAAATTGAGTGATGCCTTATTTGATATGAGTTTAATGTTATGGATACATGGAGACTTTATCTTGACATGATACTTCTGAAATCACAGGCATTTGTTAATCTTTGCCCAATGCTAATATTCAAATAGTATACTCAACTTGATTACGATGTTAAAGTAACATCTCAGCTTTCTGAAACTGAAGTTTCATATATTTGAAAGAGAAGACTAAAGCCAAGTATTAGTCTTACTCCATATGGTTCTTTATCTCTTGACTTTTTTAATGTTGTAAAGTCAAAAAACAGTTAAAAATACAGCTGTGAGCAAAAGATATATTGCACCGAGTTTGTGTATTTTTAAAGTATTTTTAATAATCAGAAAATAAAGGTAGAGGTCTTTTTTTTCTTTTGCATCACTGCTGTTGCTTTGCCTTGCAACAACTCCTTTAACACCTGGTTAAATATGTGCAGAGTAGACATAATGCGATCCAGATTCTAAGAAGTCTAAACAGGTTTTTAATTAGAAGTGTGGCCTAGGGTCTGGAGCAGAACGAGGACAGTGAGCTAAAAGCATGGTTTCTCTTCTCTGCTTAGCCCATGCACTGCTGAGTGTTCTTGGCAACTCACTTGTTCTCCCAGCTTCAGTTTCCTCATCCACAAAATGATACAGTGACGCTTGCCATCTTAAGTCCTACTCATCAGAAATACTTTGCAAGAATTGAGTAGCTGCCATTTATTATTTACCAGAATATGGAGGAAAAAGAGGCAGCAAAGTCATACCAATATATTTGCATGCTTTGCTGGTGAGAAATCAGAAGAGATCTTGCTCAAAATAAAAATGAGTATTTTCACATATGACAGGCAGCTTGGATCAAATAGTTGAAAGCCAGGGCCATGGACAAAACTAGGTCAATTCAACTGGGTATCTACTGAATAGTAAGCTGTGCAGCTCAACAAAATGTTGGCCCAGTTATTAATCCCTGTCTCTGATCAAGTCAGCAGATTTATGCCTAAAGTGCTGCCAGTGCTGTTTTATAATTTTGGCCTTTTGACAGCAAAATTCACATTCTGCTCTTGGATGATTATGTTCAGAGAAAGTTCAGACAATAAGGGGAAAATGTCAGAAGCTGTGATTAGAATGCAATGGGTTTCCACCCCTGCTCTTTTACCTAATCAGATCATTTTGGTCATGACTCTGATTTGGCTGAATAGAGGCTGACCATCCTTAACATGCCTTGTATTTCTTTAATATCTGAGTACCCTGCAGAATCTGAAATGTGGACTCAAGAACACCTAAGTGATGTTGTCATTATAAAGATAACATTTATCCCTTACTGTACTATAAAATTTATAGGAAGTAGAATGTATATGCCAACTCACCTTAAAATAATAAATATGCTTAATATGTAATTGTTCACATTTGCATAGTGTACTTAGAATGACAATGAAAAAAAGGGTTTATGATGGTAAAAATGTAGATATAAAATTTATGAAGTTGAGGTAGGAAAAATATCTCTTAAGGAAACCAACTACAGTACTAGTCACTGCCCAAGTGATTCTTAAGACTGATGCAGCAGTTAGTTACCTGCCAATGCTTTATCAACACTCACTGAAATGTCTAAGCTGAAGATGAGGATTTTACATATTTCATCATCTGGTGTAAAAGTTACAGTCAACCCTTAATACGATATTTAACGAGGTCTAAGAACAACTGTTCCATTTTTTTTTTTTTTTAATATGTAGGAAACAACACTAGGAAAAAATTCCTTTGCCTCTGTGAAAAATCACTATGAATATGGTTCCAGTACACATCAGAGAATGCAAGACAAAATGCAGATAAATGCTGTAAAGGAGGTGATGGAATCAAACAGTTAAAGATTACATGATGATGGGAGAGTTGAGAACTGAAGAAAAATAACTCAAATGTGAATGATGTTTGCTTGTAGTTAATGCACTCAGAATGTGTAGCTGTCTGCAGAAAACAGCAACTAAGGCAGAATTTATTTTAAGATGGGGGTGGTTGGGCACTGAACAGGTTCCCTAGAGAAGAGGTCATAGCACCAAGCCTCACAGAGCTCAAGGAGCACTTGGACAATGACCTCAGGCACATGGTGTAGCTCTTGGGGATGTCCTGTGCAAGGGCTGGACTCAGTGATCCTTGTGGGTTTCTTCCAACTCAGCTTGTTCTGTGAAGATGTTTTATTTGGATACAATAGATGGCACTCTAGCTACCCTGGAAAAAGGAGCAGTCTGACATCCAGTATTTCTGAAATTCATGTTTCAGCCTCCAGCTTTAACTATTTATCCCATTTACAATTTCTTCTGTGATAAATACAGCTGAAGGTAACTTTGTAGGTGCTAACAAAGTGTACTAGCACTTTAATTTGGTGTGTGCATGTTTTATACCCTCCTGCAGCTCTATACCACATACAAACAGAGCAGAGCAGCAGGGGAAATCAAGCAGAAATTAGAAAGGAGTGTGAGATGAAAACATTCCTGGACTGACAGAAGGCACCAGAAAGGAGGGGGGAAAATGAGAAGAGAAAAAAGGAAAGAAAAAAGGAAAGAAGAGCGAAATCAGAATAAAGGGAGGCAGTGCCTCTGTAAAGGAGAACAGGGAAGGAAATAAAAAGGTAGGGAAAGAATAAAGGAAGATTTACATTAATAGGTCCAGGAGTAAAGGAGCAAACAAAGTGCTGCAATCCACACAAATTTACAGGCTGAGAAATCAATGGCAGAATCAATTTGGATGGACTTCGTTACTGGCTTTAGGGAATGCATCAGATCAGATCCTGTAAATCACATTATAAACTGCAGGTCTGATGTAAGAGCAGAGGATTACTAAATTAATATTTGAAAACAGTAAGTAGTAACAAAATGTCAACACTTAAGAAAATGTCTTCTGTCATAAAAATGCAATGACCAAAAATAAATCCATTTGCAGCATATCTCTCCTTAACAGGTTTGTTTGGTTTACGCATGTTTAATTTGATGATTATCTTGAAAACAGCAAGTGCTTTTTATTTACTACATTTGTACTAAATATTTGGTTTGATCAGTTTACTTTTAACAAACAGAAAATGACAAGACAAAAAATTTGACGATTACTATCATTCTTCTATAGACTGGAATCCATAGTAATTATAGATCTAATATGAGATTAAAACTGGACTGATAAATGATGGGGAAGTGCTTTCTAAAAACAAGTAATTCCTATAATAATTAACTGAAAGAAAATCCATGATTAAATTGATTTTTTTGTGCTGCTGGCAACATTAAAGAACAGTCAGTTTTAATACCATCTCAAATGACACAGCTCTTTCTGTTTCTTTTGTACCATCTATAAAACTGGAGCGCTGACATGTTTTGTGCTTTTTGAAATACAGAAATACAGAAATATTAAACAACACTGGGTGCTTTCAAATATCAGACCTTAGGGATTTCTTCCATTTTATACAATCGATGAGGTATCTCAAGTCTCCAGAGGCTTAGAAATATGGCTTTGATCTTGATTTGGCTAAAGTTTTTTTGTTGTTATGGCTTTTAATTTTTTTTTCTTTCTGTTGTTGTTGTTGGTTTTTTCTTTCCTCCTTCCCCCCAAACTGCCATTTTCTTCACAAAAGATGTTGACAGCATCTTTTGTTGCTTTTGTGTTATAGTAACACAGATCACAGAAAGCCCAGAAGAATATTTATCTTAGTGTTTGCATTAGGGTAACATCAATATACAAGTCAGAGGCCAGAACCTTTGTACTCTTATATAGTGCAAGAAAACCCTTCCCAGCTTAAATCGGCAAATAGCA